TCACAGGAGTTGACTTTAGTCTTTGGCAGGAAGTCATAAAACTTGGCCAGGGTTTGTAGGTGGAGGGTGGGAAGCCAGTTAGAGATAATATCCTGTTTTTACACTAGGAACTTTCGCCAGTTAAGGAAATGAGCCTAGATGAATGTTTCCTTGTGCTTAAAATTTTTCAGTGAAGACACACATTATGCTTATTGCATTACACATAAAAATGTATTACTATATATGCTCAGTATTTTTATTGGATTATGGGCATGCTATTGCATTACCAGGAGGCAGTTATTAAATTATCAGTTTCTTCTGTGACTTTTTGGCAATTCTTTTCAGTGTTCCACAATCGAACATAAATGGGAGACTTTGGACATCCTGATCTTGTGGGACATAACACAGAACCTTGTAGATTATAAAGTTTGAAATTATTTCTGCTGGCAGGGAGCCATGTAGGAACACCAGATGGTGGAGATGGATTCTCTGGACTGAGTCTGCCAAGAGCTCAGCTGCTGCATAAAGAACGAGCTGCAGCTGTGAAAGGCCAACTAAAGCCATGTCTTACATAACAGTATTGGGGTTAAAATCTGGGTGTGGAAAAAAGATCTAGATTTGCTCCCTCTGTCTTCCTAGTATTGCTCTTGTATTAGTGATGCTAGTTACAGTCTGTATTTCCATCTATCAGTATGCAGTGCAGTTTAAAAGAGGAGGCATTCTGGTGTAGGCAGGATAGCTAGCGTTTAGTACCAAAGAACAAATTTCTAAGCTTCTTTTGTTAATGCTGGTTCTGCTGCCTGTGGGAGTTGATGAATGTCTGATTATCTAAATGGGCTATAAAACACAACAATACAGTAGAAGATGGTACACGTTAACAAGGGCTTTACAAGTATTTACTCATCCATCCAAATCACTTCCATGGCCACAGGTGTCTAAAATCAAGCGATGCAGAGTGCTTCTACAAACATTTGTGAAGGAATGGGTCGGTCTCAGGAGCTCTGTGAATTCCAGCGTTGTACCATAGGATAGGATCCCAGTCGGTATGAAATTTCCTTGCTATGAAATATTCCACATAAGTTTAAACCACATAAGTTTAATCACAAGGGTAAGCACAAGGGTCTGTGAGGAGGTCGAGATGCCTGCCTATTTTTGTGACCATAGAGACTTGTATGTGAAGAATTTAGATCACAGTGCACCAACTATGCTTGCACCCAAAGTAGCGGACTTCAAAAAAAGTATCCGGTCTTTATGTCTGACGTCACTAGCCGTGTCTGGGCCTAAACTCCGCTGCAGGTCCATATATCAAAC